CGGACAGGCCGCGTGTGATCAAATACAGAAGCGGTGATGAAATAATATAAGGATATATATATATATATATATAACATAGTCTACATGTTTATAAATTCACAGTAGAAGTACGATCGAGCCACAGAGCGCGCTACCGCTAGCCACTGCGCGCATGGTGAACCACCTCGCTCACTGTGCAGCACCTACGCCGTATGTCTCTTACGTCTAGCTCTAATCGTAATACTAGTTTCTGCTGAGTGGGTCAGGGTCACCGATAGGCGGAGCTGGCGTGTCACACCTTGCTGGGGGCGGTATTTCGAATATGTTCTATCGTAATCCACGGCGCATGGCCCGCGTGTTAAGAGGGAGACTCCCTTTACTCTGCTGCTTATTGCCGCGCTAAGTCACCCGTGTGAGCGCAGGCGTTTAAAGGTCACGTATGTGCTTTCTCTCTCGTCCCCCTTTCTTCTCCTTCTCTCTCTCTCTCTCTCTCTCTCTCTCTCGTGCGCCTGTTCTCCTCCTTCTCTCTCTCGTTTCTCTTCTCTCTACTCTCTCTTTTGCCCCTCTCTCCTTGGTCTCCTCTCTCTCTCTATCTTGCCCCTTCTGCCTCTCTGCTCTCTACTCTCTTCTGCTCTCTCTTCTCTCTCTCTCTGCTCATCCTCGTCTCTCTCCTCAATCTCTTTTCTCTCGCTATGGATTGTATATTTTATTGTTTTCCTGTCGCGTCTTTGCCTGGTTTTTTCTCCATCCTTCTCTGTTGATATTTCGTTCTCTGTCCCTCTGTATCTTTCTCTCGCCGTCCCCGTCTCCTTTGTCCTTCCTCATCTCTCCTTTTCTCCATCTATCATTCTGTCTTTCTGTCACCCGCCTCATCTTGTTGGGGTAGAGAGAGAGAGCGAGGGAGAGAGAGTAATCGGATGTGAGATTACAAGATCAGGAGAGGAAACACATCGCCGATTCCTTCACGTATTATGCTCGCGCAATTAACATCGGAGTGTAAATTCGTTGTTGTCACGATATCGCTATCATTTCACCAGCGATGTTATATATCCTCCGCTCTCTTGTGTCTCGCCATGCTAAAACCACCGCACTCGGAAAGAATATCGTTTCACTGTCTCGTCGTTGCTATTGTGGCTTTCGCATTTTTCACTTTTATTATTGCCAATTAAGTGCAATTTCCTGCAAACATTAACCACCACATCCTATCCCCGTCTCTCTTGACACTAGAAAACTGGTTCCTTGGCGATAAAATATCAAACAAAATTAGTGTTATAATCTCGTTATAGTTTTCATAACTCCTACACGAACTCAGTGTGGCTGGAGGGTGAGACAGCAAATCAATATAGAAGTATATAGTTGGAGTTTATCTCGACGACAATCTCGGGATAATGTGAGGATGTCAGAGTATAGTCGTTGAGTTGATGCCAGCATAAGGAACACCTACACTGTTCTGTCGATATTTCTCATTTCGTGCACACATCCACGATGTATATGCGTAATCGATCAACGTAATCGATACGAAGCGGTGATTGATTCGCGATGCTTCAGCGACATCATCAACCGTTTGATCTTCAGAAGAACATCCCAGAAGCAGCGGTGAGATGCAGATACGTGCGCATGCGCGTCTCACGCCATCGGCAGTCTTTGATGTCACGTTCACCGCCAGGTGTTCATCTGACGTTTAGTAGTACAGGTATCCGTGGTGACTGTCCGACTCACGAGTTCAGTGAAGCATCGTCATCATCATCGTCGTCATCATCATCGTCGTCATCATCGTCATCATCATCGTCATCCCCATTATCGTGTCGTCATCGACCTGATCAGTGTCAACGTCGCTAATCGTCGGCGTTATCAACGCGTCGGCTTGGCGTAGATCACTCGCACGTCGGCTGCCGACGATGAATGAAACGCATTCACGTGCGCGTGACGTCACGACGTCGGCAGCGATTCACCCGACGTAATGCGACGACGCTGATTCGGGGACGATGTCCTAAGTAATAAACAACGTTGTGCGGATAGGTGACGGGGGAGATGTCCTCGGTAATAAAACACACTGGGGTACGGATGACAGGTGAAACAACCTTCTGTTTATTACAACCC